CACATTAATACCGTTAGTCCAGTGAACATAGGACATGCTGGAGATGAACAATAGGCTCTCGGTTACAGGGACAATGTGGCAGGTGCATGCTCTGCATGCAGCTTCTCTTTGTCAGCCTTTAGTTGAGTGACCAAGATACTCAACTCCTGCTCAAGTAAAGAAAAACTGCTGCTGTTTGTTCTCAGAATAACACACCAAGATGAGTCATTTCTTTTAACGGCTCGGCTATTTTGACAAACAAAAAAAATCACATCAAAACAACAATCAAAGATCAAAAGTGTAAGCCTCCGAAATAAGATACTGCTGACATGTAGGACCAAAACATCATACAGTGGTTTGGCAGCATATCCCAATACTGATGTTTGAAAAAGACAGTACGAGTCACATACGTGTCAAATATAATAATAGTTCTATGTGAGGATAAAACAGCATTAAAAATGTGTGAAGCTTTTTCTTTGCCATGCCCTTTGGACAGATGGTGTGGTCCGCGGTTAGACTGCTAGTTAGCTAATTATCAGGGCAGCACCCATGTCTACACCTCTTGATCACTGTCAAACACACATACACATACCACTTTCCTCTCAGTGGGTCCCAAGAGAGGAAAAGGCCAAAGCTGCAGCTTTACCAGTCAGAATCAGTAGGACACCACAGGACTCTTTTCTCACTGGAGTGAGATTAAGGACCTCCGGATGGATGATGATGAGAGCAGGAAATAGGAAGTTATTGGCCATCTGTTTGACCTTCAATGTACCTTCATGAATGATTACATTTATGTGTTGAATTGAACTGAACTTGGGTTATGTCGTTCAGCAAGGCACAGGTGGTGTGATGGTATCTCTTTTCATATCTCTGTTCATATATTGTTAAAGATAGACAAGAATATTTACCCTTCCAATGTAAAAGGCAATTCAAATATATATTGTCAATCTTTACAAAGGAAAGAAAAACAATTGGACCACATACTATGCACGTCAGCAGCATGAAAAGTGGGAATGATCTATGACTTTTCTTAATGGCTGCTACTGAGTGTTGCTGCATCATGGATATATAAACATCATCATGTAAACAAAAACAGAAGTGATCAAAAAATGGAACAATCCACTCCCATCAAATTGATATAACTTATCCCCAAAAAATTACAGTTAACATTTCACTACACGTCCGATAATAAAGTCACCGTTCATTAGCACCTCTATATAATGGAGATAACCAGTACACATGACTATTTGTACAGTCCTGTTTGGACACACACACACATGCTCAGAAGGTCGCAGTCTCTGAGGACAGCCCCAGATCAGGGATCCCATCTCTCCTCCAGGCAGTATTGTCTACAGTCATCTACATCCACTGCAGCAAGAGAATAAAAGGCTGTCCCACATCCAGAAAGCTCTACACCCCTTAATGAATGTGACATTTAGCTGATATTTACATGCCATGCATGGTGCTGAATTAGCATGCCAAACACTAAGCTTCAGATTAAACAAAGCTCAGCAATTACACACCATCTATCATGCAAAGATTTACGACATGTGACCCGTGCAGCTTAACCAAGATATTACCTTAGTCCTGACTTCTGCATTCGTCATTAAAATATTATACACACTGGTTATTTACATAGCAGTGAAACTGAACACAGTATCTCTACAGTAGGAAATTTGCTGTCCTGACCATCTCCTCAGGTAAAAATTGCTCTGCTGACAGGAGGCAAAATATAAGTAATAGCTAACTTCTTCCAACTGCCTCGCCTGTCAGCCCTGTAGTTTAATGTTGACCCACTGTCATGATACATTTTCTTACCATTTATATTTCTCAGTGCACAAGCTCTAAAACACAGTGATATTAGTATACAGACAGCAACAGAATATAAAAGACAATACACAAGTTTTGCCACACTATTTCGATTTAAGTGCAGGAAGATCAGTCCAGGTAAAAAATCTGAATACAAAAACACTTTATGATGAATGTCTTAATTGCATTGCAATTTAAACTGAATTGCAGACAGACTTACAGTATGTGAACATCACAAGAGTTCTTAAGGTCTGCCGTCCACACAACTAATAGAGATATTGCATGACTGCCAGAAAACTGGTACGATAATGACAGTGACCAACATCAGAACTATAGCACCACAACATCAGGGTCGGAGTCATCTTTATCCGCCAAGTATATGTGACTATACAAGGAATTTTACTCAGGATGTTTCTCACTTTATGTCTCACTTCAGTAAAGTTACATACAAAATACAAAAATCAGGTATTTACAAAAAGAACAAGATATTTGTACATGAGTGCAGATATAGAATATATACGTTTAAAGTCCCTCTGAACACAATGAAGATTGTAACTATATAGAAGGGAATGTAAATCTTTCATCCACACCAATGATAGGTTAATGTGCAATGCATTCGTCATGCTTTTGGATTAATAAATACACCTATGGGCCACATTGTTTGACACTGTAAACCCTCTAATTGTATCAAAATAAATCATGGTTACGGTAACAAATCAAGTTTTAACTACTATAATATGCCACTTTAGCAGTGAAATGACATTTTCTAACTCTGCATTTACCATAATACTGGTGACATAACAAAATATGTCATTCATTGACCATTACTGTGTGTCATTCCTTGAAATATGTGTTGTAAAGGGGCATAAGATCTATTTAACAATCTGGAAAGCAAGGGAAAAGTTATTTTGTTGTAATTTGTCATTTAAAGGATTTATCTCAATAAGCCAAAGATAAGTTTAAGCCAGCCACAAGCTTATCATCTTTTCCTTTCAGCTCTCCTTTCTTTTTTCCAAGTACACCTGTGCCCACTGTCACTTATCTGTTTCCTTTCAGTGAACCATCCCTCAGGTGTGTGTGTGTGTGTGTGTGTATAAGTGTATTCCCATTACCACAGTGTCTGCAAGCCAAGGACCCATCTGTGGGCTTCCTCCTGAACCTCTTGAGAGGGCCACAAAGGCTTCTAATTATGCCTGACCTTCTGGCTCTCTTTTTCTCTGCCTCCTACACTGGGCCCCTATGGCTCTCCCACCCCTCCTCCCTTTCCATGCACTCTACTAGCTCTGTTTGCCCCCTTGCACGATCAAAATAAACCCTCTGCTTGGCTCCAGGTGCTAATTGCTGCCATTTCAGAGACAAAGACAGTGTTTGGTGTGACGCAGCCCCGAAGGTCAGTCAAGGAGAGGAGCTCCAATAACACCTGTGAGTTGGATGGGGCTGGGCTTGTCTTTTGAATCATGTGGCCTTGATAGACACAACTCTTTGTTTCCAAGATGATCTATTTATGAATGATGAAAAGCCTCAAAGCTGGTTATATCAGCTTCTGTGACAGGGAAGAGGCATTGTTACTACAGAACCTGACAAAACAAACAAAAATTACATTTTTGTTTGATTTTTTGTTAGTTTGTGATTATCAGTTATACAAAGTGTCACAGCCTTTTATTATTTACAAACCAAATTTGTCCAACAAAGAAAAGGCCGTCGCTGGCAACAGGTGATTTTTGGTTTTGACGCACTTTCCTTTTATTTCTTGTAAAATTATAGGGAAATAATAACCAAAAATCCATTATAACTTTGATGCAAATTAAAAGTAAAAAAGGTAATCAAAAAGTTAAACAAAAGTTTAGCGTTAAAAAAAATCATTGTTTCCAAACCTCCCATCATCACACCTGACATTCCCCCCCAAACCACAACCCCCCTCCACGTATACCCTTGCTGTTCTTTCCCTCCCAAATTAATTGGAGGAGCTTAAAAAATTACCAAAGAAATCCTAATAATTCCAAATAATTCATTTCAATATGGTTCTGTACAAACTAAAATATATATCAACTACTTGAAATTAAACAGAACATGTGAATTACAAAAAGTAAACTTAAATTGCCACAACATTCTGGCCCCTAATTTACATACAACAAGAATTACACCGTACTGTTGCATAGAATGCATATGCCATTAAAGAATGTAATACCAATATTATATTTTATATACTTTAATATAAGACTATTCTGAATATATTATATATTTTTTTAAAACACCTGTCCAATATTTCCCCTGTCGACTTATATTATTTAATATTTTCCTATGAAGCCTAAACCACCTTTATTTTCTGATGCCATGCCTTTTGATACATTTTTAACTGGCATTGTGTCAGGGAGGTGGGTGTTGACGGGAGGACTCAGTCGCGGAATGAAG